AAGCAGCGGTGGTGTGGTGTGTGGGGTACTAGCCGATCAGATCAGAGCAGCTGGAAGATAGGATCAGCATGTCCTTCTTCAGCTAGCTGCAATGCCGCTGCAGACTACTGCAAGCGCTGATGCGAGCCGTGTACCATGCCCCTGCCCCGGCCCCGTCACCCTGAGCTCATGGTCCCGCGTCTTGAGGAACCTTAGTGCGGGGTGCATGGGCGAGCCTTTCTCTCTCTTGGTGTCCACCCTTCCCTCTCGCTCCCCCCTTTATGCTCATCACGCACTCCACAATCCCGGCGATCCGTCATACCTGATGCATGGCTGACGTACCCAGGTTCCTGGCCTTCTGGGCACCACCGAGAACGAGCTCGGCATCCGCAAGTGGCTCGAGGACCAGGGCCACACGCTCGTGACGACCTCGGACAAGGAGGGCGAGAACTCGACCTTTGACAAGGAACTCGTCGACGCCGAGGTCATCATCACAACGCCCTTCCACCCCGGCTACCTGACGGCCGAGCGCCTGGCCAAGGCCAAGAACCTCAAGATTGCCATCACGGCCGGCATTGGCTCAGACCACGTCGACCTCAATGCCGCCAACAAGACTAACGGCGGCATCACCGTGGCCGAGGTGACGGGCTCCAACGTCGTCTCGGTGGCCGAGCACGTCGTCATGACGATCCTGCTGCTGATCCGCAACTTTGTGCCGGCGCACGAACAGATTGAGCGCGGCGAATGGGACGTGGCCGCGGCCGCCAAGCAGGAGTACGACCTCGAGGGCAAGGTCGTCGGCACCGTGGCCGTCGGTCGCATCGGTGAGCGCGTGCTGCGCCGCCTCAAGCCCTTTGACTGCAAGGAGCTCCTCTACTACGACTACCAGCCGCTGTCGGCCGAGAAGGAGAAGGAGATTGGCTGCCGCCGCGTCGACAAGCTCGAGGACCTGCTGGCGCAGTGCGACGTCGTCACCATCAACTGCCCGCTGCACGAGAAGACGCGCGGCCTCTTCAACAAGGACCTCATCGCCAAGATGAAGAAGGGCAGCTACCTCATCAACACGGCCCGCGGCGCCATCGTCGTCAAGGAGGACGTCGCCGACGCCCTCAAGAGCGGCCACCTCGCCGGCTACGGCGGCGACGTCTGGTTCCCCCAGCCCGCCCCCGGCGACCACGTCCTGCGCACCGCCAAGAACCCCTTCGGCGGCGGCAACGCCATGGTGCCCCACATGTCCGGCACCTCGCTCGACGCCCAGAAGCGCTACGCCGACGGCACAAAGGCCATTCTCGAGAGCTACTTCAGCGGCCGCCACGACTACCGCCCCGAGGACCTTATCGTCTACAAGGGCGACTACGCCACCAAGGCCTACGGCGAGCGCAAGGAGAGCAGGCAGACCAACGTCTAGGCCTGGTGCTGGCCTCTGCATGTCGAGAAACGGGACAATAGCATTTTCGTTTTTTTTCCCCTTTACTTTGCTGTGTTGGAAGGGCATCACCTGTATCATGAGACAGTGAAGATAGTGAGAGAGTGAGAGAGAGTAATGCAAACGAAGTCATGACCCAAAAGCTTTTTGTGCTTTTCTTCCTTTCATCGCTGCTTGCGTCGTGATTACAAAAATAACTAGAACAAATGTTCATTGAATCCTGCCTGGCCTTCTGAACACCACGTGCACCCCACCTCCCCCCAAACATCGCTCGTCGCGAGCGTCACAACTCTCTATGATGCAATCATCAGCCCGTACCGTACTCCAGTGAGAAATATTCCCTCCCTCTGCCTTATCGCCCCAGTCAAGTTGTC